CTCTCTCTCTCTCTCTCTCTCTCTCTCTCTCTCTCTCTCTCTCGCTCTCGCTCTCGCTCTCTCTCTCCCCCAGCTATTTGCTCAATAGGGGGGCTCCGCCCCCCCCCCCTAAATCGCCTGCTGGCAACAGTTCACAGTTTATCAATACTTCGCGTAAAATCACTGCATAAAACCGTGTAATTTCACCGTTTACTTCATTTCCAAAAGCTGGCTGACTAACCAACTGGCATTTTGCCATAAAGCGGTATTGGAATCCAGCTGGCGCGGTGCACGCTAAGTTCACCGAGAGAGCGTTTCTGATTACCCCTGCGCGGCTGCGCCTGGCGGAAGTTTCGGGGGGAGGATTGAGGCCATATTTGGACGGCCAACCATTCACAACGCGCTGCCAGTGTAAAAGCGAATGGCATCCGTAGTGCATGGAGGGACATTGGTGATGTGAGTACGTGTCGATATTGTTGCACGCATGCAGTGAAAGCACAGTGCTCTGTGGATATATCGTGCTAGTGTGTGTGACGAGAGGAGTTACCCATGTTATATTTCGAATGATTCTCAGGTGCGTATTTTGTGTGTTAGACGATTAAAACTCGTGTTTAAATGCACTGTCGGCGGCTCTCTTGACTCATTCATAAAATGGCGGTGCATCCATGTTGAGCTAGCGCTGCAAACTCGGAATCGCCATGCGTTATACTTACTTCAATCAGATGATAGGTGGATCGAAGGTCGATCCCCACGTGTGGATAATGATTAATTTTAGGTATTGAGTTTATTTTAAGCATCTATTATCGCTGACATTTCGACTAGGCAAAGAAATTGTGCCTTGGAAATTTTTATAACCTGACGGCATTCTAGCGTAGTGTCAGATTCTGAATTTTTTTAGGGAACAACTTATTATTATTATTACTACTAATCTACGTTTCGACATACTTTGGTATTATTGTCACACATTATATGTACTCTGTGAATGCATTGTCAAACAATATGACAATCTTTATACTTCTTAGTTCAAACTGGAGTATAGCCTAAATTCTGATACTGGAATAATAATAATATATTTCACTCATAACCAAGGCAATAAGTTGCAATTACCGCGCGTTTTCATGTTTAGCTAGATGTTGGCTTACTAATTTTTATTTGCTATAGTTCATTTTCTGGGAAATTTATTTATAATTGCATATTTATAAGAAAACGCTGTTTACATAGTAGTAATTGAATAATGGAGGAAAAACGTTCACAACAAAATAGTTACAGCTATTAGTATTACAATTAGTATTACAAGTTACCACAAGTTATCATTTACCACTGGTTGCTTATTACAAGTTATTACAAGTTATAAGAATAATATCATTATCAGTGCTGAGTCACAATAACATTAAAATTCTTTTTCTGTACTATTTCAGTGAATTATGTAGGCAGTGGCTACGGGTACGGTAGCCGTATCTTAATGTCTCGAGGCTACGGGTACGGGAGTCCATTCGCTTTCATACTTAACGAGACAAAGTATTAGGCATCGCTGTCTTAACACGCATAGTCATTACTCAGTGAACTTGCACATGCATGTGGTTGTGAGTTAATGTGTATTGAAGTGCACAGTACATTTCAGTCCATTTTTGATACTGCTCCCGGCAGTATATACTTTCTATGTCTAATATAACAAGTTAGTTAGATTGTATAGTAGTCTAGTTAAATTAAACAAGCTGAAAATTTGGTATTTTTCTGCATTTGGTTCAATCCTACTTTGGGAGATCAATTTTAATCATGGGTTTAGAATTGGGCAAGGTTAGCGAGTTGGGGATATAGTTATGGTTAGACAACATTTCAAAGGTGCTTCTATTAGTGGAAGTTCTAGATGGATGACTATAATGATGATGATTATGGTGATGACGAAGACGACGACGCCGATGATGATGGTGATGATGATGCTGATGATGATGGTTTATGTACGTAACTAGTGTCCCAGGGTAGGTTTGAGCCTAGTTTATATTAACTAAGCTTATGTAATTCAGATAGAGGACATGGTCAAGCCACGGTACTCACAGGATAACTACTGCAAGAGATTTTAGATGCCCGTTAGTATTATTCCCAAAAGGATGATAGATGATCCTTTGACCTTCATGATAGTCGTTATTGGGATATCGTCATGTGGTAGCCTAGCTCTAGAACTATAGCCCTTCGCTCTGTCATAGGCCTGTGGCAAAGCGAAGGGCTATAGTTAGTGATAGCCTTGTCTGTGCTCATTGTGTAACTCATGTTTACAAGAGATACATGAGAAATTAAAGTGCTATGCTACTCTCACCCTAATGATTGGTCATTCCAGCTAATATGGTGTATAGTGTATTATTTTCCCACACTTGGATTATAGGTTATATTGCGTTTCTTTCTGGAGTAACAAGAATGAATATTATTATACCTGTCCATGCTGTTCAGTAGTGCACTCTTACCTGTCTACTTAACAGATATTGAGATGTGAATGACATTAAATTAACCTCATGTCACGATGCCAGGACAGGGATGGTAAAAAACTGCTTATATATACAGATTTATCAAACTACTTGAACTAGTTTGAAATGCAGATCGGCGTACATATTTGTGAAAATAATTGTATGTGTAGACATGTTAGCTTTACTGTATACACTTGGTGTTACACAAGGAGTACCCAGTAAGTATGTTAGAAAATTATATGAGAACAGTTTGGAAAACGTGTAAAATTGATGCTCCAATGGCGTCCTTGATGTAGTATTCTTGCTGAGTAATCGCGCAGTTATTACAGGCGTCGCCGTCTGAGAAAACCACATCGCCTAAAAAAGGCGCCGACGTTCACTCGATGGGGCTGATTTTCGTTTTCGATTCTCGGAATCTCAAAACTTGACGGGGCCGGAAAAAAGCCCCTTACGGCCTGTTTACGGGGCTTGGGTTGATTGGCCCCGTGAAAATATGAAGCCCGTTATTAAGGGTGTTCTTGCTAAATATTCACATGGTTTTTTTGCGTATCCTTGCTTAGCATTCTCGTACTTTTCCAGAGTAACCTATATAGATGGCCAGTGATGGCAGGCAGTTACCCACAGCAGAGACAATTCCGATTCCTAGACGGCGATGGCTGCTTCATACATTACATGCTCCCTCACCAACGCGGGCCCGCCACAGGGTGGCGCTGGAATCACGCAGCCCACAGCAGAAGCAATTTGTTTCCATGGTAGCAATGTTTAATATGTATACAATCTTTCCTTTCCAGGATAGCCCTATTAAGTATTGAAATTCTTTTCCAGGTTACCCTCAATAAGTATTCGTCCTTAGAAGGGCATCCTTGCTTAGTAGACGTGGTCCTTTTTTAGAGTATCCTAGCTAAGTATCCATACCTTTTACATCATTTAGTATTATCATTATTTTCCAGTTTCATTGTGAGCCCATATACGGGGGGGGGGGCAATTGTGGTGTATTCTCTCCACCCTTTTTAAAAGCACATTCTTTCTAGGTACCATCATTCTATTGTGAGGTATCCTCACAAAGTATGCCTCTTCGTAAGGGCATCCTTATTAGGTACCACTCATGCTGTTGCAAGGGCGTCGGACGTCACTCACGGGTTCTCTCTGTTTTCTCTCTCCAGGGTCGCAGCGTGAGCCCCGTATACATGGCCAGCGATGGCAGCCGGTTACTCACAGGAGGAACGTTTACTGCCCGGCGGCCCGTCCCCGTCCCCGTCCACGCGCCGCGGGTGCCGTCGCCGCCGCCGCCGACGACAACGCAGCAGCCGCGGCCGACTGTGGCGCTGGACACGCCGCGGCCCGGCCCGCGCGCGCAGAACGACTACGTAGAGAACCCTACGACACAGCCGACGACAGCATCGCTATCCGGCCGAAACGACGCGCGCAAAACAAAGCCGTCTACGACGACGGGTCGACCGATCGACCCGGCGGCGATATACGGCGATCATGTGGGCCCGCGGAAGCTGCGCAGCAAGGAGCCCGTGCGCGCACGAGGGACGGTGACGTACGTGCGTCCAGAGACATGGCGGACGGCACGCACGCTGCCACCGACGACGACGACGACGCATCGCCGTGGCGACGCGATCGCCGCGTCGAACGGCCGGACTAAGGACGCGATTATCTGCGCGGAGTGCGGGAAGTGCCGGTGCGACGCGTGCGGCGCGGCGCGGCCGCTGCCGTCGACGTGGCTGTGCGACGGCCAGTGCCTGTGTTCGAGCGACGCCGTCGTCGACTACGCGTCGTGCATGTGCTGCCTGAAGGGTGGCATGTACCTTTGCTACGGTGAGTCGGACTCGGAGAGCGAGGCGGCGGTCGTGAACGATCCGTGTGCGTGCGTGCCCGAGCATCGGTGCGTGCGTTGGACATGCATCGGCCTGCTGACTCTCCTCCTACCGTGCCTGTTTTGCTACTGGCCACTGCGGGGCTGCGTGAAACTCTGCGAGAAGGGATACAATCAGTGTCACAGGCACGGCTGTGGGTGTCAGCCGCGACCGCACGTGCAGCCACAGGAATCCCGCGACAAACATCTATTGGAATCTGACTGCTGATATTGCTACTATGTGGTGTGTACAGGATACAGGCAGCATCGACTATGTACAGTTTTTAAAAGCAGTGAACTCTGTGTGTACAGCATGTTTACCTCAACAGGTGTCGCAGCGTACGTGTATTATCCCAAAGTGTTTCATATATTTCACTGTTTTGTCAAAGCATCTGTAAAAAGACTGTCTGGTATATCGTATACAAACCGACACACACACGCAAGCACGCACGCACGCACGCACGCACGCACGCACATACACGCGCACGCATGGACACACGTACACGCACACGCACGCACGCAGACACTCGCATACACGTGCACGCCCCCACACCAGTGCCGCATGGCCTTTAAGGTTTTGATAGCTCAGTCATCAGTATTTGTCCCTGTCCATTTACCTCCTTGGCAAAGTCTGTAATGATAGCAGAAAGTTGTAAATACGATGACGAAACCCCCTGGAGTGATAGCTGAATGAGTTTTTCAAGCTTATTATTTCTTGTTGTGATACCAAATTTGTATGCTACCTGCTGTGTAGATTCATATTGTACACAGGTTTTCAGGAAATCATGCTCGGAGTTTCGGCATACATGTAGGTTTTACTGTACATGATTAGTTAGTTGTTTAGCGACAGCATGCATTTTGGTCAGGAGATAGTTTCTCTGTTATAAGCCTCCACGACCCGCCAACATCCACTGCCTTATCGGAAAAATCACACGACAAACTCCAAGGTTATAAACATTTTATATGCGTATCATTGTAAAAAGTAATCAAGTTACACTTGAAATTGTTTACGGTTTACCAGGTCGTCCAGGGACTACATAGCTTTAGCACAAGATGTTTAGTTTTATATAGTGAAAAACATGATAGACCGAAAGTGTTAATACACATGTAAATAGTAGGTGATTCTGTTTATGCGTGGAGAGATATTTATTGTTTAACATCTCAAGTTTATCGATATGTATTTTATATAAATATGGTATATTTATTTGTGAAAACGAGTTCAGAAATTGAGAAGTATAAATTATGAATAAAATCGTGCGTAGTAATTTAAAATCTTCAGTGTGGCGTCGTTTTGAATTTTCCTCTATTGCCCTTTCCGATCTCACCACCGATGGAACACCGAGCGAAGGACGAATAAAATTTAACCAGCCACAGTTTATATTGCAGTAACCTAAATCCTGCAGGCTGTGATGACAAACATCCGGCTGTGGATTTCCTGTCAGCGAGGACCGTTCCTGTGCTGCAAGTCGCGAAGCCTGTCTGGGAAACTTCACTGTATTTTAGACTGACGACACGCCGCCGCGCGACGGCTTCAAAGCGACGCGAACGTGTGGCATCGCGGGGCAGTCTATGAAGCTTCCTGGAAGGAGGAGCGGATGCGGGCAGGCTACGTGGCGGGACGGCCCCTGTCAGAGGAGCTGAGAAATTAAGAGCAGCCGTATGCGATAGAGTCGTGGGATAGGCCACGCTGGCTCGAAGCTAAACAGTTCAGCGGCGCGCGGTCTGAAAATAGACTTGCCCCCCCCCACCCCTACACGGGCGGGCTGGTCGGGGTGTATGGCCTGATTGCTACCGTGCAGGGCACATCGTTCCGATTTCGGGAGCACCAGCGTGCGTGCTACTTGCCGCCGCTATATTGCTGCTGTTGTAGGTTGTGGTGATGGTACTGCTACTGCTGCTGCTACCGCACCGCTACTGCTGCAGCAGCTGGTGCTGCTGCTGCTGTTGGTGCTGCTGCTGCTGCTGCTGCTGCTGCTGCTGCTGGTGGTGGTGGTGTTGCTGCTGCTGCTGTTGGTGCTGCTGCTGCTGCTGCTGGTGGTGGTGGTGGTGGTGTTGCTGCTGCTACTACTGCTGCTGCTACCGCTATGGCTACTGCTACTGCTGCTGTTGCTGCTGCTGCTGCTGTTGCTGCTGCTGCTGCTGCTGCTGCTGCTGCTGCTGCTGCTGCTGCTGCTGCTGCTGGTGCTGGTGGTGGTGGAGGTGGTGGTGGTGCTGCTGCTGCTGCTGCTGCTGCTGGTGGTGGTGGTGGTGGGGGCAGAGGTGGTGGTGAGAATGCTGTAAGCTCTCGAGGGCAGAAATTCAGCACCGCGCTGTCACGTAGGTTGTCTGGCTTCTTTCTAATTTCTGCACTCTGCACTAGTTAGAAAAGTGTTTTTTTTTTAAATAAGTTACTTTCGTACATTTGTAGCGTCGTCCTCTGTTTCTCCCTCCCCCCCCTCTCTCTCCTCACTCTTTCTCGTTCTGCTGGCCTCACTCCTTGTTTTTCTGTGTTTTTCACTGTCTACCTCCACCTACCGCCCTCTCTCTCGCCCTCTCTTGGTTTATCTCTCTATCTCTCTCTCTCTCTCTCTCTCTCTCTCTCTCTCTCTCTCTCTCTCTCTCTCTCTCTCTCTCTCTCTCTCTCTCTCTCTCTCTCTCT